CCCCCCCCCCCTCTCCCCCCCAAAAAAAAATTAAATTAAAAAATTAACAATTATTTAAATAAATACATACATGTATTAAATAAATTTTTAAAAAAGTTAAATAAAATAAAGTAAAATAGAATAAAACAAACAAACAAATAAATAAATAAGTAAATAAATAAATAAATAAATAAATAAATAGAAATTAATTAATACATTAATACATTAAAAATTCTATACTTTGGGCTTAGTGCAGACGACCAACTCTCGGACAACATACTCGCACCTCACACAAGATTCTGCTCAGAGTGATCCGTCACAGTTATGACTATGTTACTTTTGTATGGTAGACTGATGACGCTGTGATGCTGATATCACAGTTATGACTATGTTACTTTTGTATGGTAGACTGATGACGTTGTGATGCTGATATCACAGTTATGACTATGTTACTTTTGTATGGTAGACTGATGACGCTGTGATGCTGATATCACAGTTATGACTATGTTACTTTTGTATGGTAGACTGATGACGTTGTGGTGCTGATGATGGTGGTAGACTGATGAAGTTGTGATGATGATGGTGATGGTAGACTGATGACGTTGTGCTGACGGTGATGGTAGACTGATGACGTTGAGATGCTGACGGTGATGGTAGACTGATGACGTTGTGATGCTGATGGTGGTGGTAGACTCAGACTGATGACGTTGTGATGCTGATGATGATGGTAGACTGATGACGTTGAGATGCTGACGGTGATGGTAGACTGATGACGTTGTGATGCTGCTGATGGTGGTAGACTGAAGACGTTGTGATGCTGCTGATGGTGGTAGACTGATGACGTTGTGATGCTGATGACGGTGGTAGACTCAGACTGATGACGTTGTGATGCTGCTGATGGTGGTAGACTGATGACGTTGTGATGCTGATGACGGTGGTAGACTCAGACTGATGACGTTGTGATGCTGCTGATGGTGGTAGACTGATGACGTTGTGATGCTGATGGTGATGGTAGACTGGTGACGTTGTGATGCTGATGGTGGTGGTAGACTGATGACGTTGTGATGATGATGGTGATGGTAGACTGATGACGTTGTGATGATGATGGTGATGGTAGACTGATGACGTTGTGATGATGATGGTGATGGTAGACTGATGACGTTGTGATGATGATTATGATGGTAGACTGGTGACGTTGTGATGATGATGGTGATCATGAGGTTGATAGTATCACGTCATAAGTGTCTATAAAGATCATCATTTTTTATTAGAAGTTGAAGAACCTAAAAGGGTTAGAAAAGGGAAACACTATTAAATTTCCTAAAAGTGCTTCTTGGAGTTGCTGTTTGTCCTATCTTTTTCTGCTCCATTGAGTCACGAGGTGAGCACCCTCTATCTCGTTTCTAGTGGAACCAACATTTATCTGTCACCGAAACTTTTCCCAAATTTCAGTCTCCGTTCTGGTGACATTTTGTTCCACGGCTCACGTTCATTATTGATCACTGGGTCGACTCATGGGCCAAAGTGGAATTCCCCTGTGAGCTAGACCTCTCCCCCACGGGCTGTACTTTTTCTAAGTGTTGCCTACAGTGTTAATTTGTAGTTCCCTGCCGTTTGCAAATTCAAGACCATTCTTCGGGGAACTGTACAGGCTAGGGGAGGAGAAGGAGAGGGAGGCAAAGAAAGAGGTGGACGGACAACATTGCGGAGTGGACAGGGAAATCGTTAGCCCAAACCCAGGCGCTCGCAACCCCCTCCCCCCCAAAAAAAAAACCCACAAAAAAACGTGAAAAGTGGAGGCAGTCACACGGCTCTCAATCATACAGCCCCCCCCCCTACTATCCTCGTAGATTATGAGATCAGTAAGCAGTAAGTAGGCCATTTACTACCTTCCCCTTTTAGTTGTGTGTTGCCTTCCGCACGTGCATGGCTCACAGCCGCGTCTGGCGTGTCTAGACACCTCCACGAGTCCGCCAGGCCTTGTCACTACAAAGTGAGCGGCTCTGATAAATGGCGCGATGAGTAGTGCGCGTGCGCAGACAAATACAACGAAACAGGCCCGACAACAGGCTCTTACCTCGGCCAGGTGCAACATGGTTTTCTCATAGAGTTGCTCCAAGGTTTTCTCCGACTGGGAGAGATTAACTCTTACAGCACGGGAGGCTGGCCTTAATCAAATAATAAATAAATAATAATAATAGATAGCATTTGTATAGCGCATATCCCCGCTCATCAGCAGGCTCTATGCGCTTTACACTATATTATTACCCCAGCAGACCATAGAATACTCGGACACATTCTCAGCTTCCCAGGAAGCATACAGTGCAAGTAGCCGATTAAGCGCTCAAACACTAACAAACTGACAAGATCTTTCGCTGTCTATAACCGGGTACCCATTCCCACCTGGGTGAAGTGAGGAAAATTCGTGTAAAGTGCCTTTCCCAAGGACACAACGTCGGGCCCTTGACGGGATTCGAACCCATGACCTTACGATTGCGAGTCCGAGAGCCTAACCACTAGGCCACCGACGCCTTCCTTTGTACTCAGCCAATTTGATCAACCCTGTTTTCAGCATCGCAAACCTCCCAGTTACTCTACTTCTGTTTAGCCTACTTTCATAAAACACACACCAAACTGGATGATTCCCACCAGCGCAGTGCTACTGACTGAAGTGTCTTTAGGCCATTCTCAAAGGGGTGATATTAACATGTTCTTATCCACAGTAGAATTGTAAATGGGCTGATTTATCAATGTCATGCTCATCCTGTGCCGGAACAACATAGGGGGAACTGCTGCTTTTTCTTTCCTCATCCTCACTATCGTCATTTTCCTCTACTTCTTTTGCATGTTTGTCTCTCTCTTGTGACCCGCTATTTCCGGGGTGCTTTGATAGTCGAAGCAGATTTTGCGAACCTGCCAGTTACACCCTCCAACCACCCACTGACTTGGCGCGCGGTACACCAAGAGTTAAAGATACCGTATGTGTGGTCTGACCGTCTGCCTGATTGTGTGTGTGTGTGTGTGTGTGTGTGTGTGTGTGTGTGTGTGTGTGTGTGTATGTGTGTGTGTGTGTGTGTGTGTGTGTGTGTGTGTATGTGTGTGTGTGTGTGTGTGTGTGTGTGTGTGTGTGTGTGTGTGTGGTGTAGAGGTAAAATGGGAAAAGGGGGGGGGGGTTGCAGGGAAAGGTCTGACATAGTGGTGGGCAAAATCCGGATACCTATCCGGATAACCGGATTCAACGATGAAACATTATCTGAATTCAGACCCTAACAACTCTCTTTCCTGACCCGTTTGCCGAAGTGGGTGCACCCATATTACAAATTTGTGGAAGTGGTTCTCAACCCGTTCTTCGAAGTGGTTCTTGTTTACTTGTGCTCACTTGTTTACTTGTGTGAAGGACTGACGTCACGGCACAAGGGGCATCCCCATAAGCGCTCCGTCCCCTGAACAAGCACATCTTCGAAGTGGTTCTAAAGACATTTCAAGGTGCACTAATATATTAATCGGATTTTGCTAAAGCGACTCATTGCCCAGCCTTAGTTTGACGTAGAATTGATATGATAGTGAGTTATCGCTAACCACTGGCCACTGTTATGGTGCAGACCTGGAAGCTTTTCACTGTTTCATTTCCTCTTTTCCCTCCTCTTTCCCTCTACTCCCGTTACAGTTCCTCATCCTCCTTCTTCCCATCCTTCCGTTGTACTGTAGGTGGTTAACCTTACCCCTGTGTGGTCTTTGATCTTCGCCCTTAGCTGATGGATCTCTCTCTCTCTCTCTCTCTCTCTCTCTCTCTCTCTCTCTCTCTCTCTTCTCTCTTTCTCTCTCTCTCTTTCTCTCTCTCTCATTCACTCTCACACACACAACCCTCTCTGTCTCTCTCTTACTCTTTCTCCCTCTCCCTCCCGCCCTGTCTCTCTCGCTCTCTCTCTCATACACACACCCTCTTTCTCTCTCTTACTCTCTCTCTTACTCTCGCTCTCACCCCCCCTCTCTCTCTCTCCCTCTATCTCTCTCTCTCTCTCACACACACACAGACACACAGACTCACAAACACACACACTGAGAGATTCACACTGTACAGATATCATAATGAAATATTCTTGTACCGATATCATAATGAATTATCCTTGTACCGATATCATAATGAATTATTCTTGTACCGATATCATAATGAATTATCCTTGTACCGATATCATAATGAATTATCATTGCTGAGTGCTAGAGTGTGGCCACGTAAGTCTTTTCTAGTTTAAGTAGAGTTTTTACGGCGCTCACAACTTCATAAGGTCATATGAGAGCCATCAGAAGTCTTCAGCTGCCTCATTCCCTTTGGCTTTTATTCTCTCCCCCTCTCCTCTCCCCCTCCCCATCCTTATACCAGTTCGTAATAAGGGATAACACTTTAGTACTAAAACAAATTCCTTGGAAGACAGAGACGAGACAGAGAAATAGAGAAATATATTGGGCACATGAAAGGGATTGAGTAATCAGAAACACACGTTTAATAGTACAAACATTGTTAAAAATATCACCTGGGCGTAATTCAAAAACTAAAATCTTACTACCATTTAAAAAAAAATCCTTATCGCACCTGTATAATATGTAGACACACATCTTTACATCTTCCTTGATTCCAAACGTATGGACGATATATATATATATATTTAAAAAATGTTAGCGTTAGTCCTATCTTCCTCTGCTCTAATGAGTCACGAGGGACGTGGGCATCCGCTATCCCGTTCCCTACTGGAAAAATCTTTAATGTCACCGTGAAGTTCCGAAATGGTGGGCTCAGTCTCTGCTAAGGTGACATTGTTAGTGTTAGCCTATTCTACCGGGCCAGGACAAGTGAAGAGAGGAGCTTAGTAGGTAGACAGTACAGTGGCAGGTA